CAGAATGGTGAAAGTTTCAGATAGGTTGGTGATGTGTTGGTCAGCATGTTTGCTCTTGACTAGCATATCATCAACGTAAACTTCCATGCTCTTCCCAATCTGTTCGGCTAACATTGAATTGAACAGTCTCTGATAAGTCGCTTCTATATTCTTTAGGCCGAAGGGCATGACTTTATAGCAATATAGTCCCTTGTCAGTAGTGAAGGCTGTGTGTTCTTGGTCTGGAGGGTTCATGAGGATTTGGTTGTATCCTGAGTAAGCATCCATGAAGCTCAGGATTTTACACCATGCCGTAGAGTCTATAAGTTTGTATATGAGAGGAAGAGGAAAGCTATCCTTCGGGCATCCTTTGTTTAGGTCGGTGTAATCGACACACATTCTCCACAAGACCTTTTGGAACAGGAGACTTTCCTTGGTCGAATTCTTCTTAACAAGGACAGCATTTGCTACCCACGTTGGATAATTGACTTCGCAAACGAAGCCTATGCCTTTAAGTTTTTCAACTTCTACCTTCATTGCCTCGTACCGTTCAATGCCATAAGATCTTCGCTTCTGTATCACTAGCTTGGTTTTGGGGTCAATACTTAAGCGATGACAGATTATATCGGGAGAGATGCCTGGCATGTCCTTGTATGACCAGGCGAAGATCTCAGTGTTCTCTTATAAAAAAGAGATCAATGCCAACCGAATGGGTGGTGACAAGGTGGTACCAATCTTCACCATGAGATCCGGATAATCTTTTGAGATAGAGACCTTCTCTAACTCTTCAGCGGGTTGTGCTTACTAGGTGAAAGAGTCATCTCAAGGATCGTCGGGTTGACTGTTGCCACCGTGAAGATCCAAGTTGGCTTCGTCTGGGCTGGTCTTTATGACTTGGTCATGTATAGAAAGGGTTTTCTTGGGCACAGGCAGGTGCTGTTACTTGACCAAAGTGTTGTAACATGATCGTGCACTAAGTTGGTCTCCTCTGATGTAACCATTGCCATAGGGGGTTGGAAATTTCATCAACAACATATGTGTGGATACCATGGCCTTGAGATCATTGATGCCTGTGCGTCCAAAGATGACATTGTATGCCGTTGGGCAATCAACCACCAGAAAGTTAGTGGTAATGGTAGTTGTGTAAGGGCCTATACCAATGGTGAAAGGTAAGTGTATGCTCCCCAAAGGTTGCACGATATCGCCGGAGAAGCTTATCAGAGGGGAAATCAAGCGGTCGAGCAAGTGTTCAGCTATATTAAGTGCCCTGAAAGCTTCAGCAAACATGATATTGACCGAAGCCCTCGTGTCTACCGGGATTTGTCGTACTTCAAAGTTGGCTATGTGAGCTTCCACGATCAATGGGTCGTTATGAGGGTAGATGGTACCTCTTTCTTCCTCAGGGTAGAAACATATTGGATCCCAGTTAGGCTTGTGATATTTACCTCCCCTGATGTCTTCCACGTGAAACACTTGGTGGCCAGACCTTAAAGCTCGTTCACTATTTTTCATGGCCCTGTTGGAAGATTTAGATATGGGTGTGCCACCACTTATGGAATATATCACATTTACTTGGCGTTGGTTACGGTTACCCTTTAGAAGGTGAAGGAGGAATTGATCAATTTTTCCTTCACGTGCCAAAGCTTCAATATGATCACGAAGGGTGATACACTTCTCGCCGTCATGGCCGTTATGCTCGTGGTAGCAGCAAAACGTGCCCGTGTTCTTCGTGGGCATGTAATCCGGGTGCCTCGACTTTGGCTTCGGTATCAAGTGTGCTATGCTGGGGTAAATGGCCACGCATGTTGCGTTCAAAGGTGTGTATGCCTCATACCTCGGGGTAGGGGCTGTCCTGACACGTGCTTGACCCACTGTGTTGACTGCCTGGGGTCGGGGATTATCATGGTGATACCCTTAGTTATCGCGGTAGTGTCCCTTACTATTTTTACTAAAATGAGACTGGTGATGATGGAAATCTTTCCTTTTGCCCTGAGATTGATATGTCTGTTGACTTGGCAAAGTATTAAGTAAGGCAGGGGGAGGCACCGCTGCTGTTTGGAAGGTCGAGGTTTTCTCATTTGGTTGGATCTGGCTTCCACTCCCTATTTGCTGATAAATGGTGGTTGTGGGGGGTTTCCCTCGATATGTCCTTGCCTCGGCGGAGGCATGGTTGTAAGCCTGTGCCATCACCTCAGAGTAAGTCTTCCAAGTGTTGGCATTGATCATGTACTTGAAGAAACAATCACGTAGGCCTGCCGTGAAGGCCTTGAGGGCGGTCTTGTCATCTGCCTCAGCGCAGCGAGAATACTCATGGCTGAAACGACGAGTATACTCTCGTAGTGACTCATCCGGCTTCTGACGAATAGTGTACAAGTCATCTACAGAATGCAAGCGATCGGTCTGGAAGATGTGTTTAGAGACAAACAGTTTCCTCAGTTCCTCAAATGAGTCTATTGTCTCAAGTGGAAGACGGCAATACCAGTTTAGAACTCCGCCAGAGAAGGTGGAGGGGAAGAGAAGACATCATTCTTCGTTGGTGTGCATCTAATATGCCATGATGGACTCCAAGAGGTTAAGGTGTTCAATAGGGCCCTCCCTTCCAGTATAGAGTTGTAAACCAAGCTTTTGTTTTGTCTTTGCTTGAAGGGGGGTGTCGAGGATCCTCCTTTCTCAGGCCTGGGTTGGTTCCAGTCAGGTATCTTGGCCTGACGTTCGGCCTTCAACTTGTTTACTTCCTCAAGGAGCTGTAGGATAAGGGGGTTTTGAATGGAGTCATGTACCACTGGGATTTTCTTTCGTAAGTCTCCATCGCCTCTTGGAAGTAGGAAAGTTTGAGCAAGGGCGTGTGATTTTTCCTTGGATTCCCCGTACTGACTTCTAGGGCGAGTTTGTCGGAATTCCTCAGAGTCCCCTGTACCTTCATGTTCCTCTAAGACATGTCGTTCCTTCCCTAGATTGGCAGCTGGCCTGGGTCGTGGGAGGGGACCGAGTCTTTCAGAAACCCTTAAGTCATTAATCTTTGAGCATATGTGGAGGGGATTCTCTCGACGTTGCTTTAGGAAGTCTCGACAGGCACGATAAACGACTTTCAATCCTTCCAACCCTTCTGCAAAGAGGTGTCTTCCTCCACTTCTTCTGTTTCGGGTCGAAGCAGCTGGGTTGAGAGAAGTCTCATGTTGATCAATGTTTTGATGATTAGCTCGCTTCTCATCAGGGATACCCATGTCAAAGGAAGGTGACCCTCCGTGTTGGGGGGCACCCAGATGATGGTTGATGTCCATAGGGGCAACAAGCTCGCGTGTTTGAGTACGCATAGTTTCATGGAGCGTCTTAAAGAGCTTCTCATACTGCTCCTGGAGGACCTTATTCTTCATTGCTATCTTGTTGTTTTGAGCTTCTAGCTCATCGACTTTAGCTTGAAGAGCAACCCTATTTCCTTCCTTCTTTCGTTGCTTCGCACTAGGTGCAAGAGAGGTGTCATTCTGTGTGTTGTGGCTTCTTTCGCTCCCCATGTTGGAGAGAGATGTCTGGTCAAAAGAGAGTGTACGAACGGTGGAATCAGCTTGACAAAGTTAAAGAGAGTGGGAATAAGTGTCGTTTCCCACAGACGGCGCCAAATGTTGATGCACAAAATCAGTGAGGACTTTGGTACAACAGAAAATGTTAAGTTTGTGACCTTCGTTAGATTGCTCCGGTCACTAGTGTGGATAAGTATGTAAATGGATAAGGATAGGGAAGCAACACAAGCTGTACGTGGTTCACCCAGATTGGCTACGTCCACGGAGTAGAGGAGTTCTCATTAATTGTGAAGGGTTTACACAAGTACATAGGTTCAAGCTTTCCTTTAGTGAGTACTAGTGAATGATTTAGTACAAATGACATTAGGAAATATTGTGAGAGAATGATCTCTATTTATAGAGGAGAGTTTCTAGTTTCATTCTGACATTGACACGTGTCGTGTTGTGATTGGCTTCTGATGTTGACACGTGTCGCGCTATGATTGGCTTCTGATGTTGACACGTGTCGCGCTGTGATTGACCTCTTGGTTGGAGGGAAACTCTTCTGGGTCCTTGACTGTATAACATTGACCGGTGCTCAGTAGTTTCGGGATTGGTCAAGTATGGTACAAACAATGACCATTAAACTAAAATTGTGAGTAAGATTAAAATCTAATTTTAGTCTATTGATACATTAATCACCTCATTTATTAATTATATTTTGTTGTTTTAATTATTTCTCTTTTTCTTGCTAATTTTAATGTGCTAATTATATTTCATTTTCATTTTCATTTTCATTTTATTTATCGTAATATATTTTGTTGTAAACATTTAGATAAACTAATTTTTGTTATACAATATATTTCGATATATTTTGTTTTCTTTATTTAGGTACATTAAATTCATTATAATACAATTCGGTGCATACATTTAGGTACACACATTTAGGTACATACATTTCGATTCAAAGATGTAGGTACATTAATTCAATATAATACATTTTGGTATTAACATTTTAGTGCATACATTTTGGTACATACATTTAGGTACAATTTAATATAATACATTTCGGTATTAACATTTAGGTCCATTAATTCAATATATTGCATTTTGGTACTAATATTTAAGTACATTAATTGAGACTTTCAAGTTTCAAGAATGTTAAAAAATTAAAAAATTAAAAAAAAAACATAATAAATTTAAAAAAAAAATTTGGTCAAAAAATAAATTTAAATGTGTATATTAATAAATTTAAATATTAATGGTAGACATCGAATAAAATACACATTAATTAATTTGAATTAAGGACACATCAAGGGACTATATTCAATATGTAATCTAATACCAGATTTTATTAAATTTCAATCTTCTTCAAGGATTAAAGTTAAAACCCCAAAGGAAACTAATGTGTGCTCCCTTTGGTGATTTTGTCATTTGTTTTTTGGTTTCGTCACTATTTTAGGCTTAATGTTTTAGCTAGCTGCGTTATATACGTCTTACTTTTACGATTGAAATTTGATCTAATAAAATTGAAAAGAAAAGAATTCTCACTTAACAATAAACTTAATTACACCGACTTTGAGGTGGAACAAGCACTACTCAATGTAAAATAAAATCATTGTCCTCATTAGCTAAGGAAACTAAATAAAATTGTTTTTAATGGTACCAGCCTTTTATAATACCATTTCTCAATGCTTCCTTACCACCAATGAACCCATAAGGCAGTCTTGCCACAACATCTTGAATCATCAACTCTTTCACGCTTGATATGCTTGCATGGTAAACTTGTAGCCCTAGGCTTTTGAGTGCATTCATCAACTTAGCATATGGGTAGTCTTCATCCGGACACTGAACATGTATCATGGCTTCTGACGCCGAAATCTTCACATCCACTTCCATAACCGCAGAAGCTGCCCTATCACTATTACTACTATTAATACTATTATTATTTTTATTAGAATAATGATGCTGGTCAACTATGGAGCTGGTGCTTTGGCTGGAGTGATGATCAAGATTGTTGCTTGGATTATTGCCCGCTTTAGGCTTTTGTGGTTGTTCTTGGACTTTGGCCTCCAATTCCTGAACTTTTGATTTGAGTTGATTGATGTAGGCCACGGCATCGGCAAGCAAAGAGGACCTGTCCATTTTTGACACATTGGGAACAACTGACCGGAGGACATAGAATCGGTGGTTGAGCTTCTCCCTCCTCTGTCTCTCGGCCTCAACGTGGTTTAACAATTGTGATTCTCTATTTGCAGCTCCATGTTTTGATGATCTTCCTCGCTTTTTCGACCGAATCGTGTTCTCCGTATTCTCGGAGGTGAAGTTCCCAACAGAATCAGAAGGTGATTCTGGCGACGACCCTCCTAGATTGATAGGTGCAGCTTCGTTTATACCACCACCTTGATCTAGTAAAAAGAAGTATTGAACATCGATGGTAAATTAGGTACATCATTGAGATTATACACGTATACAAGTGTATTGTACTAATACTTAGTGAATAACCAAAACAGAAAAATAGGAAATTGTTATTCATATTTCAAAAATCTATTTATGCACTTCAAACTTTATATATATAATAAAAAAAGTTCTTATGAGAGCTGTACAATTAGATTTTTAGATTTTTAGAGTTCCAATAATAATTCTAGAAAAAAAAAATTCAGATCTTCTCTAAAGAGTGCAGTCCGAAGTCGATGAACTGAGAAATCTTGACAATTCAACAGAGGAAGAGAGATGCAAACTTTTAGTTTGTGTACGTGGGCTAGTGGGATGGACTAATGGCTATAAATTTAAAAGGTGAGGTCCGAATTTCTCTCCGGAGAGGATCTCGATTCCTCAAAAAAAAAAAAAAAAAAAAAAAAAGGGTTTGGTAATAGGTACTAATCATTGACCATGCCATTTGGTATTTGGTAAGTACAGATAAACGAATTACTCTGGAATTTAACATAGATTTTGGTTCATACCTTGTGGGATCAATTCCTTTTGAGCTGCTGAAAACAGTCCATTTTCTAGGATAGGAACAAGTACATCGCCGTCACGGCTGGTCTGCCGTTTTGAGAGCCTGTTGTTGTTGTTCATGTTGATGTTGTCATCTGATCCGAACAGCGACTTTGATAAATGCACTAGACCCCAATCTTCTTTGATCACATCCAAAGAGGCCAGTTCAAGTACCCCACAAGGAGTTGCAATGCAAACCAAAGTTTGGATTCCATGCATTCTTGCTTCTTTAACTCTCTCACACTCATAAAACTGAAATTCATGGTCACCTGCAAGCCAAACAAACCCACCAGAACCAAATGCCCTGCCGAGAATATTGGTACTATTATTACCGTGGCTTCCGGAGAATGACTGGGTTAAAGAAACGGTATAAAAGTAAAACCACTCGGAGTCAGTGACATCTCCATGATCCACGAGCCTCATGTCCAAATCCACCATGTCATCATGCAAAAGTGATTCAACTTCCCGGTTATTCACCCTCTTTCTCTCCACATTGTTGAACCCAAATTTGAGTTGGTAATTGTTGGCTATTCGGCTGCTTCTTTTCGATGCCAAGTGATCGCGAGTGTTCCGAAAATGGCCGCCGGCCCATGACAGGGAAACCTGGTCACTAATGCTGTCTTTGGAGGCTTGCCAGAAAATGGAATACACCCACCACTCAGGCCTGTTCTGAACTATGAACTGTAGGCGCTGTTGAAATGTGGGGGAGGTTTCTTGGCAGAAATTAGTTGAACATGAGGATATGATTTCGTCCATGGTTTATGCCCTAATTTGGTTTTGCTACAGAAGGGAACTTTATGTAACAAGAGAGAGGAGGGTGAGAAGCAGAGCGGTGGAAGAAGAAAGTCAAGAAATTAAGGGAGCGAGGTTCTCCGCGAGTGGTGTGACCTTGCAGATTGTGATTTGGTTATGCGCATAAATATACGGGAACCAACGCCTGGCTTTGCCTTCAACTGTTTGGCCTTCTGGGCTAATGGTGCCAACGTTTCAAGCACGGCGACATAATGGACTTTGTTTATTTAATTAGACCTAAGATGTGAGTCATAACGTAACACTGTTGATACTATTTACATACAACTTTTTATGTTCTTTGATTAAAATTTAAAGTTTTTAAATTATTTTCATTAGTTTTTATTTTTATTAATAATGGATCGGATCCTGACATTTCTTTTAGAGTATTGTTATCCACATATTTTTTTCTATCCATTACCGACGTCCTTCAATTTTTTACCGTTGGATGGAAAACAATTAAAGAATATCAAATTATATAAATTAATAAAAAATATATAAGAGGTAAAAATATTTGTGTGAAGAGCACATCTGTTCTTTTAATATTATAAAGAATAGTACATTAGATTAAAAATTAGTTAGCACAAGGCCGTAAATTTGAGATTGACAATGACATTTTTTTTAACCATAGACTCGATAATCAGATACTCAGATTTTATTATAATATTAAAAAAAAATAAAACAATATCACTGAATTAAGAAGTAATTGACACAATATCGCATATTCGTGAATGACAATAAAACAACAAAGTATAAACAAGGCTCTATTGTCGTGGGAAATACACCGGGATTGTATCTGACATGGCTTGATTTGATTTAACCCATTCTGCTTTTCATATTCCGAGTCTCCTCATTCACCCAAAAATAAAATAAAAATTCCGAATCTCCTCGTTCACGAAAAAATAATCCTGACAAGCCGGAAACCACGAGGCACCTCAAATTATTTCTATTTAATACTAATTTCTTTTGCAGTTGAGTTAATTCCAACATGATTCTTTTTGGATTTTTTTTGTGAGACTCTTAAGAATATGTGAATTGTGTTCGTTTATTGTACAATGTGTAATTAATTTTTATCAAATACTATTTTTGTTTAATTTTAAATAAAAATATTTAAAATAATTTATAACAGTACGATTTGACAAATCTTTGAAATTCTCATAAAAATGATTCGACGTGGATCCGGATTCAAGCTAATTTATAACAAGGGATATGATCATATCTATTGATGTGACACGTGGGGAGGAAATAATTTATAACAAGGGATAATGATCATATCTGATCTGACACGTGGGGAGGAAATAATTTATGGACTTAGATTGTCTACTCTTCCATTCCATACCCTTCTCATGTTTTTTTATATTTTGTAATCACGGTTAAATTATGTCAATTTTTTATATTAATTTTTTTTATAAAAATAATAAGATAAAAAGTAATGAAAATATAAAATATTGACATAATTTAAACGTGATCACAGAATATAAAAAAATGTGAGAAGGGTATGAAATGGAAAGGGCAAACAATCAAAGTCCATAATTTATAAGGAAAACTAATGAAAAGGGCTTGAAAACTTTGAGTTTTAATGATAAGGACAAAATAAAGGGTAAAGTGAATAGTATCAGAATTGACTTTTTAGTGTAAAAATATGATTTTTCGTTAAAGTGAACAGTACCAAGAGCTTTTCGTTAAAGTTCCCTAATTTATAACAAGGGATAATGATCATATCTACTGATGTGACAGTGGGAAGGAAATAATGAAGAATGCTTTCCTCTTCTATTTTCTCTCCATCTTTTTTTTTGGTTTGTTATATAATTCATGTGGGGATTGTTAAACAAATTAACAAGAACAATTAAGCAAGTTAAAATTCTTTTCCCCAATAGCTTTAGACCTTCGAGATAATTGTCAAGTTTTGATACAGCGTCAAAATCGATCTGAAGAGCCAACCAAGGCTGACATGTAAAAAGCAGGAAGATAAATGGTTGTGTGGACATGAGGATTGTGGCACAACTTCAAGCAATCATAATTTTTTTTAATGGACTAAATTAAAAAGATAGGATGAAAGATGACAAAAATAAAAAGGGAGAGAATCAAAGTTGGAAATAATAGATGAAGGAAAAACGTTCACTTGCTGTAGAAAAACCCTTTGGCCCCATTCAATTGAAAGCACAAAATATATAGATAGTTTCTCCCTATTCAATTATTGTTGGACCCTTTTGGGACCTTAATCAAACAGAAAGATAAAACCAAATGATTTTCCCTTCCCCGCGTTTGTCTCTCAAAATAGTTTATTATTATTTTTTTTTAATAAACAATATTATTTATACTAAGATAAAGAAAATGAGTTTAGTCACACAATTGGCTAGTAATAATGTGGTTCAAATTTGTTTTTTACGATAATCTAACTTAAGATCTCTCAATTAAAAGTTAAGAGAAATACTACTACACCGTAATACTAAGTGGCCAAAATAGTTCTTTTAAAAAATCGATAGATGGATAAATTTTATTTTGATAACAAAGAATAAATAAATAACCAAACTTCTTCCTGGTGAAGTGCGCTTGCATGACACTTCCTTGGTCTTGGGTTCGAAGGTCTGTGTGTTGTACTGCTATACTCTTGCCTTATATTTCTCCGCGTCCTATTTTGTAAAAGTAGTGCTTGTAAATGGTGTTTCGGGATCATGAAATAATTGAAGCTGAGATGTTTTTCTCTGCATTGTACTAATAAAAGCATACATCTTTGGTATGTTGAAACTTTTTTGCTCCGTTTCATGAAAGAACTATAATCTTTTCTTTTGAAATAGAAAAAAATACTGTTCATAAGAAAATTACAGAAATAAATGAAGTTTCACCCATTTCGGTCCTTGTATTAATCATTCCACATACAAAAATTGTAGTTGAACTCATGCTTGATCTATGTGGTCTCAAAACATCCAGACATACGTATCCAACAATGCACACCTTATCTCTCAACTGTGACTTGTCCCATGCTGCATGATAGCATGGTTTAATTGGGAAGTGCCACTAGGGTCTATAATTGGTGGTGAATTAAACTGTGGTAGAAATTAGACAAATATATGGTTATGGTGGCTGTGTTAACTAGTGTTTCGCCACAGTCTTGCTTTGCTGGCACAGTGGTATTGACACCGTGAAGAATGAAGAATCTCAGGGAAGTAGATGAAGGGAGTTTAGAGACAAGAGAGGGAAACGAGCTTTATGAAACCAATTATATTTATTACACCATATTGAAATGAAACTATTACACTTAGGATTATATAGATCCTAATACACATGACAAATTACTAAACTACACTTGAACCAACTAACTTCTTTACAACAGATTTCAACTAAGTCACCAATATTGAAATGACAAGTGTCACATTTATTACTCCCCCCCTCAAACTCAGCGAAATTTTCTATAGCTGAGATTGTTTTGCATCAGTTTGGTTGTGATTTGAAATAATTCCTGCATATTGATATGCAGAATCACCAGAATGACCATTATCAATACTCTTCGTAGTTGAACTAGCACCTTGTTGCAAGTTAGACTGTCCTAGAGCTAAAGTATGACAGTGCTTCATAAAAATTGGACTATGCAAGCCTTTTGTAAGGATATATGCTACATGTTCATCAGTGGGGATATATTGAAACACTGGATTAAAACAGATAGCCAAAGTTGATAAGTTATCACAGTGAAGGCATGGAGGTGAATAAAGAAATTGGTGAATATCTTTAAGAACAGAACGAATCCAGAACATATCATATGCACAATGAGAAAGAGCTTTGTACTCTGCCTCTATTGAACTTCTTGAAATAGTTGACTGCTTCTTAGATTGCCATGAGATTGGATTGTTTCCCCGAAAACAATAGAGCTTGTGATAAACCTTCGATTATTAATGTTTATACCTCCAAATCAGAGTATGCATTAATAAAGAAATCACTACACTTTGAATACTTCAAACCATAATTTAGTGTACCCTAAATGTATCTCAAACTTCACTTAACTAGGTAAAAATGCATCTCTGTTCATGCACTCATGTATTGACAAACCATGTTTATTGCATGAGTTATATCTGGCCTTGTAAATGTTAGATATTATAATGTCCCTACTATGTTTCTGTACTGAGTAGGATCACTCATCAAAGTTCTTTCGGCAACAAGTAACTGTGTATAAGGTTTTGATGTGGAAGTAGGTTTGCAGTTGTCCATTCCAGCTTTATGCAGTAAATCTCTGGCATACTTAGATTGATTGATGAAGAAAGAACCATCTTCTTGATGCTGAATATGCAAACCTAAGAAGTATGTAAGCTTCCCCATGTTTTTTAAGTCAAACACTTATGCAAGATCATGAATTACTGATTAGATTTTTGATACATTTAGCCCTATCAGTATAATGTCATCAACATATAGACATAGTAGAATGACATCATCTTGATCACTTTTCACAAATAAACTCGTATCAGACATAGATGTTGTGAATCCCAAAAATGGTAAATAACTTGTAAATTTGGAATTCCAAGCCCTTAGGGCTTGTTTGAGACCATACATAGATTTTACTAGTTTGCATACATGATTTAGGAATTTGGAATTCATAAACCCTTGCGGCTGCTTTATATACACTTCCTCCTTAAGATCCCCATGTAGGAAGGCATTTTTGACATCCAATTGTCTTAATGACCAACCATATTGAGCTACTCAAGCCAGTATTAACCTGACTATTGTATGTTTAACCACAAGGCTGAAGGTCTCTAAGTAATCCAAACCCTATTCTTGTGTAAACACATGTGCTACCAATCGTACTTTGTACCTTGAATAGTACCATCAAGGTTCTTTTTAATCTTATAAATCCATTTGCTTCCAATTACACCTCTGTCATTAGATGGTGGCACCAAACACCAAGTTCCTTGTGTTTGCAAAGCTTCAAATTCCTCTTGCATAGCAATTTGCCACTATTGATTCATACTGGCAATTTTAAATGTTTTAGGTTCTTTAGTGTCTGATATTGCAGCAAGAAATGAGAACCCTCCAAATACCTCATCAATAATTTCCAAAGATTGCAATTCAAGCAAGGTGGCAAAATATGTAGCATAATCTTTTTTTGAAATTGTACCAGTTTGAAGTTTGGTTTGTTGACCAGATGGTCTAGAAATGTCATGAATATCAGAAGTATGTGATAATGGAGATATTGGTAGAATTACCTATA